CTGCCAGCGAAATCCATCTCAAAGGGAGAAGTCCCAGACGGAGCAGAGAAGGGAAACTAGAATTGAGCGGAGCTGCGTAGGAAGGCAAGGGCCAGGCTAGCTGAGAACAGGTGATCCTTAGAACAGGTGAGCTTCCAGAGGCCAACTCTTGCAAGACACGTGGCAAATGAGGGAACACAGGCATAAACAAGGTAAGTAACTCGGGTTAAACTGTGTGAACAGAGTGGCTGTTTACTACCATAATGGTGCGATGCTTCAGCAAAGACCAAGTCACTGAGAGGGCCTTAAGAAGAGTCAGGAGTTCATCAGACAGGATCAACCAAAAGCTGTCACTCATCAGTCAGGACTCAGGCAGCAAAAAACACCCATCTTCACGTGCTGGTCTGATCACCTGCAGGTCAACGCTCCTGCTTTATTTTCCATCTGTTAAAGCATAGTGAGAACTAGTAGACAGTAACTATAGAGACATCTCTAACTCTCCACCATCACATACTTGACCTTAAATCTAGTCTAAACTCAACTCACATCTTAATCTAAAACCTAAACCCAACACAAAAATGGAGATCCACCATCTTAGAACCAGTCTTTGGTCCCCATTAGGACTATTGGTCTTGACAAGGTAGGTGTGTATATTGGAAACTGTCATGAATAGGTAACAACCCCCCCCCCCCACATACACACACACACAGACACACACATACACACATCCTAGTACTTCCATCAAACTGAGGACTTTGTACTGACTTCCATTTATTTTTGTAACTTAATTTATGCCCAACCCAGACTAGTCTAGTCTATTCTATTCCTAACCATTACTTGTCTACCCCTAACCCTAAACATTACTAGTCTATTCCTAACCGTTAATAGTCTAATCCTAATCCTAAAAATTTCTAATCTGTTAATTTCTCTAACCATTAGATAAATGAATAGACTAGTACTGGTTAGAGTAAGTAATAGATTAAAATAGTTGGTGTTAGGAATAGACTAGTAAAGTTTAGGGTTAGGATGCTAACCCTAACCTTAGTTACCCTAAAACTAACCTAATCTAAATTCACACCTTGGTCCTAAACCTAACCATCCTGGTAGATGGAAGCAGATTTTTATCAAGAATGTCTCTGTACATTTTTCCACTCATCCTTCCTTC